CCAGCAGGCGACCTCCTCGTGGCAGACCGCCCTTCGGTTCTTTCGCGCAGCCACGATGTAGTCATTAACACCCTCCCAGTTCCCGGTAGGGAACCGTGGGAAGGGGAAGGGGCGGGATGGCCCAGACGGAGGGAACTGCCCTTGCCCCGGGAGCTCGCCCTCCTCAAGGCCACCTTCTGTGGCAACTCCCTCGGATGGGGCTGGTGGGACCTCAGGTGGTGGAGAAGCGAAGACCGGGTCAGCAGACTCGAACTCAGTACCCCCAGAAGTGGAAGCTCGGTCAGGACACGACCTCTTCTCCTTACGCTTTTGGTTGATGGAAAGAAGGCGGTGCGCGTCAACACCAAACATTATGGTTGCCAAAAATCACAAGGTATTAGTCCAGTAAAAAAAACGTTTTGCAAGGTACTACACGACCTAAGAGGTAACCTACCCGGGCTCAAGCCAGCCTGCGCAAGCTTTTCCTCGGTCAAGTAGTCCGACCAATGGAAGCCAACTGCTGCCCAGGACTGCAGTGTTTTCCAAACTTCGGGGTCCAAGTCAACCCCCAAATCCTGGATGGCGGCCCTCTAATGAGTTGGGAAGAGCCACCCTTCGGGGTTACGAACTACGAAAGTCCTGTTTTGAGGCCGGGATCCTGTTCGACAGCTCGTATAAGAGCTTGAAGCCGCAACAGGGAGAAAAATAGTAGGAACACCTTTTTGGAGGCGCTCTGGGAGAAGTATTCTTGATGCAGAGGATGGTGGGGAGGATGTCAAGGTTGAGGGGAAGACAATATTCATAAAATAAAGAAATAGTCCTAACCACATTTCGGATGGAGTTGGGGTGAAGCTGGTCAAAAGTGACGTTGAAATGGTCCAAAACCTCTACTATCAGAGGATGTAGAGGGAGACGCAGGCCAGCTACGAGTTGTTCCTGGAAGATCACGATCTCGTTGGAACCGCTCTCCCATGGATAGTTACCAGAAGGGAGACTGTAGATGAGGTCTCCGGGAAGGTTAAAATGAAGGACTAAGGACCTAAGCCTCTCCATCGACATGGAGGAAGGACTGAAGCTATTTGGCTCCCTGCTCGGAGAGGTAGAAGCAGTTTCTCCAGAAGCCTCCCGAGCTTTCGGAGCCTGCCCCAGGCTCCCCCTGAGCTCGAGGGGGCGTCTTCTTGGTCATCACCCCAGGAAAAGATGTGGTACGGATACCCAGACATATCGGCAAGATGATAAGACTCACCAGGAAAGAGATGAACTGAAGAGACGGTGTGAGCAGGAGAAGAGCTCGGGCAGCTAGATGGAGACGCGACCTCAGAATCCGAAAACAAGGCAAGTCAGCGTAAAAGAAAACGAGGCATGGGGCCCTCCTATTTATAACCTTTGTGCCCTCAAACCGACGGCTCGGATTGAGACAGATTTGACGGTTCACAGTCAAGCTGACCGCATGTCTTCTGAAACTGAAATGTGACTAGCTGCACGTCTCCCATGATTGAGGTAATGACGGCTGCACGACATCTGGAATTAAGAGCCGCTTCGGCGCGTTTTTCAGCATTCGAAAAGTCCAGAAATCCCTTGACTTCTATGCACACATTTAATGCGAGCAGTCAATCAAGTTTGAACTTTGAGTCAAATCTACCCGTCACACTTCATGAACTCCTCATGCTAAAGTAGCACCCTTAGCCCGAGGAGTTGGGGGGCAATTGATGGAGGGTGATTTGACCCGACCCCTTGAGACAGTGACACGTGGACATGACTCAGCATAAGTAACAGCTCAGCACCACAGCCTGACCGCGACTAGGTAACGAGCCCGTAGGACAGCTTGCTACGTTACAGCTCGCTACAGCGCGAGCTCGAGGACCCCTGATGTACTAAAAGGGAATACTCCAAGACAAGTCTATCTCAGCTCGCGAGCTAGGATAACTGGACTTAGGCAAAAAAACTGCCCCAAAGGCAACTTTAAGAGGAATCACCTCGAAGTACCCTTAGGAGCTCATTACAAGGTAGCTCGCGACAGGATAGCTCACTACAAGGCAACTCGCCACCAGGGTAGCTCGCTACTAAGCGACGCGATGTTTTCAGGAAGCTTCTATTTGACAAGACCGTACCCATCAGACTGCGCCACGTCTCCTGACTAGCGGCGCAGTCCCTGCCAACCCGATAGACTGCACCCACGTCTCTCGACAGATGGTGGCGTGTCTGTCCTCCCGGGACATGTCACTCCTCCGATTGGGTAGTACTCAACAACGGTTACCTGCACAGCCTTGGCAGATAACAACTGCGACAGAGGCTCAGTGGCGGTTATGCCTAATTTGACAAGAACGCCCATATTTAAGAGCCCCTTGGTCGAAGGGGAAAAAGATATCTTGAAGTATAAAAAAGGTATCTTAAAGTATCTTGAACATCTTGAATATATCTGAACTTTCTCTCAAGCTAATCTCGAACATTCAGTGATCTAGCGCGACCTACACTCTTAGCCTTCTTTGCCTCTTTACTACTTCCCCCAGCGTTCTAACTTAAGCATCGGAGTATTCCCACCGGGCAAGTTCCTTGGGAATCCTTCATTGTCTTATTCTCAGGTACCGTCCGTCGTCAGCTAGGAGCCAATCAGCCGCCAGTTAGGAGTGCCCGGATTGCGCAACATCAACAGTTATTAGAACTTTTAGGGCCTATTTGTTTGCTCTGAAGTCTGACATTTGAAAGTGCAATAATTACATTAAGAGGTGTATTGGTATTTGTGAACTTTTCTTTCCTCTAAACTCTGAATGTAGAGAATGTTGTTTTGAATTTTGAATTCTAAAAATTATCAAATATCCATTTTGAACCTATATATTAGAGTTTTTGTTTGTCATTTTAGGGGTGTCATTGGAAAACAAAAAGTTGTATGATTGCACTTTAAGAGATAAGAGATAAGAGGAAATGAACAACCATTTTTCTCTTAAAGTTAAAAGATTCCTCTTAAGAGATAAGAGTTAAGAGGAAACGAACAAGCCCTCAATGTATAATGGATTATCAAATTAAGTCCCTTGAAATAATTAAAAATTTATCAAAACAATTTCAAACTACAATTGTCCAAAATTTTGCTTATATTCAACAATTTCATAACCAAAATAGTAGTCTCCATACCTGACCTAATAAGGTCGGGGAGTCAAAGTTGCCGGTAGGAACAAGGAAAATTGCCATCTCTAATGAAGGCGTGTACGGTTCAGGTTGGTTAATGAGTAATGGCTCAACCCTAACCCAACCCAAACTTAAATTGGGTTCTTAATTTCTTATTAGTAAAATATAAAAACCTCCCATAATTTTTTTGACAATCATAAAACCTCCCCTATGTTTTGGTTAAAACAAAAATCACTATACTTTCAATATATTGACAATCACCTCCCTTCCACCATTTGGCCAATAATGGAGACAAGGAAGTTAAAAAATTGCCCCTAGTACATGTTAGAGTAATATTCAAAATAAGTATTCCATATTTACCCTTCTAGACTTCAATTGGCTGGAACCAAGGTTCAAAGTATCGACACATGCCTGTATCAGTGCTTTTTTTTTAAGTATTATTTATTATTATTTTTTTTTTCAAAACTGATTCAGAGGGGTTGGTTTAAGTCCCGGATACCCTTCAAACCATACTCTGACCTGATACAACCCATGGAGGGGCATATCAAGAAGCCACCGGCATGACACGTATTGACCGATACATGCCGATGCGTGTAGATACTTTGAACCTTGGCTGGAACAACTCAAAAACCACCAAGAACTCACCCACCAACATCTGTCTTCAACTTATAAAAGAGGGGATCCATTTATCGTGCATCACTTTGCAACTAGCACCACCATAACCCATGATAACTCTACCATTTCTCACGCAGGCCAAGACAGATACTAGCAGCACCGGTCACCATTCTCTTTGTTTTGGTTGATTAACTTCAATGCACCATCAACAATCTTACTTGCCAGGTTTCTCCTATTGCTCATTGACTATACCTTATTCGATCAGCTATTCAACTCTTTGTGTTATTCCCATCACACAAGGGGACCCAAACACATTTGATCCAATATTTGAAGAAGATTTAACAGATCTTCTGCAATTTCTTTATTTCCACATACACAGTATGCAAGTATACTCCACATTGTTGCTTTACATCTCGGATTGCAAAGATACCACAATTGCAACGAAGTACTACAGGAAAAATCCCACAACACAACATCAACCACCATCAGAAAAATCCTAAACAGGTGGGTCATATGAATGGATGATCTTGATAACATCATCTTTCACCATCATTTGAAAATTCAAACGATACCAAGCTAATTAGTTCCTTGTTCAATTTAGATGATTCGGGAAAAATCCATCACATTCAATGGTATATCTATAACTGGTTTCCATGATTTTTGTTGGCATGCACATACATCTCAACGTGCATAGGGAATATCTCCAGTGCTTATCATTGTGAGATATTTCCAATGCACGGTCGGGATGTGCTGTGGGGCGCACCCCCCCTTGGGGCACGGATGTGAATTCCCATACTACTTGCTTTAAATCAGAATTGTTCGGCCTAAGGGGAGTTCAGATCTGTGCCCCACAATGCCCCATAACACATTCCGACCTTGTAATGGGAACATTTTCTGTCTCCCCATGATGGCGCCCCCTTGTGGGGCGCAGATGTGAACTCCCCAACGGGTGGGATTCAGTCAGTGTTGAAATGTTCGACTTCTACAGGGGACTGGAGGTTTTTTACTATTGTCAGGGGAAGTTAAGTTTTTATATTTTATCCTAATTTTAATCCTAATTTGAACTTCAACCCAACCCATTGGGTTCGGTTCGGTGCAACCATTACCAAACGAAAGAACCGGTAACAGGAAATCCAATCGACCAACGTCCCAACAAGGGTGAAAGGGGAATTCCACAAAAAAGTTTCATTCTTAAATCCCAAACCGGGGTTTAAGAGTTAAGACAAACTGGGGTTAGGTCATTTCGCCCTCTGGCCTCTTCTTTATAAACGTCCCCTCCCCACCACCGCACGTACTACTTACTCCATTATAGTTTTCAATTTTCACTCTCGAGTCTCGTCTATCGCGTCGCTTCTCCGAGGACAGAAAGGCAAAAGGTGCCTTTTTTTCCTTTCAAGATCAAGATGGAACGACGATCCGGTAAAGCGGTCGCTAGGGTTAGGGTTTGACAACCGGAAGGTGATCGGAAGAGGGGCCTCGAAATAAGCCCTAGTGTATAGCCCTCGATTTGCAGATATCATGGCTCGCCAGGAGAACTCATTTGCCCTATTGGGGGATGAGGAGGGTGACGATGTCAATGCTCTCCTTGCCAACGTCGCCGCCAAGGTTGCTGCTTCGCCGCCGGCAGAGAAGAAGCAGCCTCAACAGAAGGCGCAGCAGGCTTCGTCAGCTCCTGCTGCTAAGTTCCCTTCGAAGCCTCTTCCGCCTGCCGAATCTGGTGAGTGTTCTTTGTTCTTTGTTAAATCTATCCATTTTTTTTCTGATTGGTTAGGGTTATTGGTTGTTCTTGGGTGTCCAAATTCTTCAATTTACTTTATCTTTCATGTTGTTTCTATCTTTTTCTTTTCTTTTCTTTTCTTATTTTTAAATCATACTTTTCTTGGTGTTTCTTCCAGTGAGAGCGGAGAGAGGCAGGGGAGGAAGAGGCGGCCGAGGTGGTCGTGGGCTAGGAAGGGGTGGCTCGGGTGGGAGCGAAGCCGGGCAGTACGGGAATGGCCGTGCCAATGGTTACCAACGGAACTATGGTGGGGAATCTGATGGGAATTCTGCTGATGATGGCTGGCGTGGCGGGCGTGGCGGTGGTCGTGGCAGGGGAAGAGGCGGAGGGCGTGGCCGAGGAAGAGGGTTTAATGAAGATCGTGGTTTTGGAAATGAAGGTCAGGCTGGTGCCAATGAAACCCAGGGTCAGACTGGCGGTGATGGTTGGGAAGAGGGGACTGAATCTCAGGGAAAAACTTATGGAAATGAGAATCGTCCTTTTAGAAATGACAATAGGGCGTTCAGGAATGAAAATCGGAATGGGAATGGCGAAAGAAGGGCTTATGGTGCTGGAAATCGTGGCTTCAGGGGTGGAGAGGGCCGGTATGGTGATCGTGACGGGGCAAGGTATGGTAGGGGTGAGGCTCCGAATGGTTCAGAGAAGGTGGAACTTGGTGATGGGAAAGAGCAACCTGGAAACAATACTGATAACAACAACGGTGGAGATGAATGGTATATCTCATCTTATGTTTGAAAGTCCTCTTTTCTTTAACTATTTTGCACTTTATGTCATGCTTGAAACTTTAGTTGTTTTCTTCTTTACTTGATTCTTACAGGTGTTATACATTTTTCTAACCGTAGTCTATATGATTGATATCATCAAATTGACTGATTAGGGTGCATAAAGTCGTTCTCTCTCTCTCTCTTATTAGGCTTATAAAAAAAAGTCGTTCTCTTATTAGGCTTATAAAAAAAGTCATTCTCTTATTAGGTAGCATCACAATTTCCCATTATTGCAAATTTTATGGTCTTTGAAATTTACAGAAGTAGTTTTTGAATGCTATATGAACTGACCAAGTTTACACAACCAAACTATATTATGCTAAATGGAAGAAGATCCGTTAACAGTGCCAATATATTTCTTCTTTCTTTTTCAACGTTTTGATGCCACTAATGAAGACCTCATTGGTTGCTTTAATGAGCAGCATAGCCTTTACCGGGGGGGGGGGGATCAATCCCTAATGAAGACCTCATAGGTTTCTTCTTCTTTAGTATCTTGTCTGTAGGGGTCCAACATGAGTGGGCCTGGGTTGAGCATTTGTTAAATTTTGAAGGGGTCCAGTCCTTGTGGGAGAAATTCTACAAATTGGGTACTTGATTTGCACCTTGCTTGTTTGCAGTCTTTTTCCTTTTGTTAATTTTCTCATTGAAATAGGTGCTTTTTACGGTGCATAGCTATGGTTTATTGTCATCAGAAGTTGAAATCAACTTATTTTCTTGGGCTGGAAGCTATATTTGTTTGTCCAATTTTGAATTTGAATTTGATGTTGGTAAGGGTGATTCAATTTCAATTTGATTATAATTGTATTGAATGTGGACCCCACCCCACATCGATTATAGGGTTTGACTATGATACGGAAAAACTTGTAATCAATCAATTGGTATCGTACAAATGGTAACCAATCAGGTGTTATTTATTAGAATTTATGGGGGTTATGATTCATCAAAGTTCTTCTGGTATCTTGTCTTTTCTGGCAGCATAAACTTTCCTATATATAATTTAAAACGTATCTATAGTAAAATTGGCTTGAATGTTGATTTTTTACAATAAAAGCTATCACAATGATTAGGTTGCTGGGAAGGGTTGTCTCTGATTGGGTGCTCATCCTACTGGATTTTGCTCAAGTGTCTGCATAAGATTTGGGGTCTAATTTTTTGGACTGTTATTGAGATCCAAGAATGTAATCTGGAAAGTTTTTTGTAATGGTTTGTGGTGTAATCTCTACACCAGGCTGTAAGATTTGATGTTTTATTTTCATTTAATTTTTCTGCTATTAACAAAAAAAGTTATTTTTAATTCATTTTATTCATTACATGCAATTATCAACTAATCAAAATCTTTTTTAGTTCATTTTGATCATTTTTAGTTCAACTTATTAATGATATTCAATGTGCAATTGCTATCTGAGTTCAATGTAAATCCAGTATAAATTCCACAGGTAAGATCAGAATGTGATTGCTAAAAAATCAAATTTGGATATAGGTATATCTGATTTGATCAAATGTTTGCAGCCCTACTTTTCCATCAATCATCTGATCTGTTTTTATATTTCTGACCTATCTTGTTATGTGTCAAATTTTCTTTGTATATACTAATAGGGGACATTCCGGCTTATCTTATTGCTAAAAGAGATGGATTTTTTTTCTGTTTATTTCATTTTGATGCTATTCTATCAATGTTTTTTATATTGCTTTAATGTTGTTAGTTTACTTGGACCTATTTTTTTGGACAGGGATGTTCCTGTGACTACTGAATTACCAAAGGACGCGGAATCTGAACAGGAAAAGGTTGAACAAGGCACAAACCAGGATGCTTCTGACAAGAAGCCGGAAGAAGAGGATAAGGTCAGTTTACAGGTTGCTGCACAGCATTCAAGTCTTCAACCCTTAATGATCTGAGAGAACTAAAATGTTTTTTTTTTTCTTTTTTTTTCTGTTCAATAATTATCTTACAGGAAATGACCCTTGAAGAATATGAGAAAGTACTTTATGAAAAGAGGAAGTCTCTGGAAGCATTTAAATCTGAGGAAAGAAAAGTTACCCTTGACAAAGACTTTGAGTTGATGCAACTTATTGAGAAAAAGAAGGAGGACACCCTTTACGTTAAGCTGGTGAGTATACCATAAACCACTAGTTGTCTTTTATTTGTGTGCTTAGTCTTCCATTTTCCAATTCCATTTTGTTTGTTTACTATTGTTATCAGTAAAGTCAAGTCATCCAGGCAATGTTAGGTGTTTTGGACTGGCAAGTCAAGTCAATGCCTAGGCAACAACTGTGTTGCTGCTGATAAAAAAACAAGGTGTTGTTTGGGCAACCGAAATAAATAAGTGTGAATACA